GGGACCTTTCAGTCCACAGGCCGACGCTCTATCCACTGAGCCAAACCGGTTTTGGCAATGTGTGTCTTTTGTTTTGAGGTGGGTCTCTTGTAGACAGCATATAGTTGGGTCATGTTTTTGTATCCATTCAGCTATCCTACACCCTTTGATTAGAGCATTTAATCCATTTACATTTAGGGTTATTATTGAGAGGTACTTATTTATAGTCATTTTAATTCTGTATGGCTAGGTTTTTCTCTCTCTTCTTTACAGCAATCCCTTTAGCATTTCTTGTAATGCTGGCTTGGTGGTGATGAACTCCTTTAGCCTTATTTTTGTCTGGGAAGCTCTTTATTTGACCATATTTTGAATGATAGCCTTGCTGGATTTGGTAATTTTGGTCTCGGATCCTTGCTTTCCATTACCTTGAGTAATTCATGCCATTCTCTTCTAGCCTGTAGAGTTTCTGATAAGAAATCAGGTGTCAGCCTTATGGGAACTCCTTTGTAGGTAACAGTTTTCTTTTCTCTTGCTGCCTTTAAGATTCTCTCTTTGTCTTTAATTTTTGGCATTTTAATTATGATGTGTCTGGGAATGGGTCTGTTTGGGTTCTTCTTGCTTGGGGTTCTCTGTGCCTCTGGAACTTGTGTGACTTTTCCCTTTACTAGGTTAGGGAAGTTTTCTACCATTATTTTTTCAAACACCTCTATTCCTTTCTCCCTTTCTGCCTCTTCTAGCACACCTACTATTCTAATGTTGTTACGTTTCACATTGTCCCACAGCTCCCTTAAGCTGTCTCTGTTTTTTAATTGTTTTTTCTTTTTGGTTCTCTAATTGAGTGATATTTTCAACTCTGTCTGGTAATCCACAGATTTGATCCTCAGCTTCCCCTAATCTGCTGTGTATTCCTTCCAGTGTGTTCTTTGTCTTGTCATTCTTTATCTTAGACTGTTCTTTTTTCATAGTTACTATATCTTTTTTCATACTGTTGAGCATTTTTAACATCTTTATTCTGAACTCTGTTTCAGATAAATTTCTTATCTCTGCTTCATTTATCTCTTCTTCTGGAGAATTCCCTAGTTCTTTTATTTGGGGGTTATTTCTTTGTTTCCTGATTTTGGTTGTTTGGGTTTGTGACTATGTATTAGGTAGATCCTCTACACCTCTCAATCTCTAGTGCAGGACAGTGTTAAAGGCTGTTTCTGACTAATTGGATCAGGCAAAGACGCAAAGCTTCCAGAGACAGTCTCTGTCTACAGACTAATAGGATTCTGACTTGAATTGCCCCCAGGCAGTCATCCTCAGGTGTGGAGAGAGTTTTTTCAACAGGGTGGGCAGTTGCTTCTTCCTGGAGGCTAATTGTTAGTTTTAATCTCTTAAGTGGCCTCAGTGTGTGTCAACTGTCTTCCCCCCAGGCAAGGCAGATGTCTATGTGGGAAAGATGTCCTCCACTGTGTGAGGAAATGACTCAGCCTAGGAAACTTGGGGTGTCTGCCTTCTGGGCTCTATCCCCCAAGTCCCCAGTCCTGGGTTCTGCTCTCACAGCTCCAGTCCACTTCACCCTCCCTCTGCCAGAGCATAAGGTGGGTGGCTCCACAGGGAATTTTTGTGCATTGGTCCTTTACAAGGGTGCCTGAACTTTCAGCTGCCACTCCCTGGCAGACAGCACCTCACTGCTTTTCACAGCTAGATACTATGTGGGTACTCTCCTCAGTTTGGTGCTCTCTGCTGAGGAGCTCAGCTTTGAGATTAGATCTCAGAGTTCTCAGTGGCTCCCCTGCACAGCTAAGATAGCTCTCCGGGACTTCAGTTGCCTTCTGTAAGTGCCTGGCCAGCCCATTCGCCCCTCCTACCAGTCTCTATGCGGTCTCCATCTTCGGTCCTTGGGTATCGGGGTTCTCTCCTGTGAGTTTTCCATTGATTATTTAGGAAGCCTTTCTGTATTTCAGTTGTAATTCCAGCTTGTTTCTGGGAGCATGTCTATGCAGCATCCTCCTACTCTGCTGCCATTTTTAATCTCTCCTGACTAATTTCTGACCATAGCCGCACCCATAGGTCCTACTGTACAGCATCCTTCTCACGGGGCTGAAGGTGGCCCAACTCGCTCTTCTGAACTCATAAAGCGGCAAATTGGAAGAGTAGTTTTGAGCAGGACCCTAGAACTTATGTTCTAGATCAGTGATTTTTCAACCAGTGTGCCGCAAGAATTTTTAAAACATGCACTCCCTGACTATTTAGTCAACAGCACTGACTTCTTTTTTCCTCCGATTGTCAAATAAAAAAATTACAATAGCCAACATAACAATAGCCTTCTAGTGTAAATACCCTGTCTTGAACCATAAATATGTAGGTCATATAATAGATTTGCATCTTATTGGTCACATTACATAATAAGATTGCTTCTGATTGGTTAATTCTTGGTACCAGAAATCCTTATATACAAATACAGGCACCTGATTTTTTAAAGTCACTTTGGAGCAAAAGGGTAAGTAATAACTATCCTATCTAATAAAGAGGGAATATGGTAATTGACCCTCATGCTGTCACAAAGATGGCGGTGCCCACAGCCAATAAGGAGGGAATATGCTAGTTGACTGCCCCGCCCTCAAAGATGGCAGCTCCCACAGCCAATAAGAAGGGAATATGCTGCCAAACCGGTTTGGCTCAGTGGATAGAGCGTTGGCCTGCGGACTGAAGGGTCCCAGGTTCAATTCCGGTCAAGGGCATGTACCTTGGTTGCGGGCACATCCCCAGTGGGAGGTGTGAAGGAGGCAGCTGGTCGATGTTTCTCTCCCATCGATGTTTCTAACTATCCCTCTCCCTTCCTCTCTGTAAAAAAATCAATAAAATATATTTGGATCTAGGGCGGGGGGATAAAATGGACACATATGTAATACCCTTTGTAATACTTTAAGCAATAAAAAAAAAAAAAATATATATATATATATATATATATATATATATATATATTTGGAAAAAAAAGAAGGGAATATGCTAATTGACTGCCTCGCCCTCAAAGATGGCAGCGCCCAGAGCCAATAAGGAGGGAATATGCTAATTAACTGCCACACCCTCAAAGATGGCGGTGCCCACAGCCACAAGATGGCCGGCAGGGGGGGGCAGTTGTGGGTGATCAGGCCAGCAGGGGAGGGCAGTTAGGAGTGACCAGGCCAGCAGGGGAGGACAGTTGGGGGCAACCAGGCCAGCAGGGGAGCGATTAGGCGCCGATCGGGCTGGCAGGGGAGTGGTTAGGAGGTGATCAGGCTGGCAGGCAGGCAAGCAGTTGGGAGCCAACAGTCCTGGATTGTGAGAGGGATGTCCAAGGGGTCCCAAATTGGAGAGGGTGCAGGCTGGGCTGAGGGACACCTACTCCCGGTGTACGAATTTCATGTACCGGGCTTCTAGTTCTCATATTTTTGTAAATCAGTCAAAGTTATACCAATTTCTTGTTAGATGGGCAAAAATATATTTTTTAGTGTGCCACAGAATGTTAGCAATTAGTTTATGTGTGCCAAGAGATAAAAAAGGTTGAAAATTGCTGTTCTAGATAAACTTCTAGTAAGATCTGTGGTTTTGCATGTTGATTTCTTAGCTTTGGTTTTTGTAATGTTTGTTAATCAGATTATACATTGTTAGTCCTTCTCAGATAATGTGTTCCAGAATTACTAAAAATCTTTTGATTAATTGATCAAAGGATGTGTATTTTTCTTTCTCTGATTGCCAGTAATCCCCCAAATTCCCATTTACCCACTTCAGCTCTGTAATTGTAAAATGGGAAACAGCAGCTTTATTTATAGTGCAGTTAAAATACGTGTGAGGAAATAAGGCTCATTTGTGTACCCAGCTGAGCTCGGTCATCAGGCATCCTAGAGGGGTATCAGTGCCCAGGTCATCTGTACATAGCAGTCATGCCAGTGACAGCTTCAGTACATTTTTTGTTGGAAGTAGAAAGAAAAGAGATCTAACTTCCCTTATACTGTCATTATTTCATCCTGTTTGTGTTAATTATGATCCTGCTGACAGAATAGAGATGTGAATACTTCTAAGTATAACCCCACTGGTCCTGGCATGCCATCCATCTCTCTGTGGAAACATCTAGACATCCATGAGGAAAATGGATCAGAAAGGCATGCTTTTGCCACAAGTTAGTTTCCCGGTTCTTTTAAGATCCTCTCCCTCTGTCACTCACACCTAATCCCTTTTCATGAAGGACTAGAAAGCGGGGTGGAGGCCGGAGCCTGGGATGTGGAGTGCCTTTTTGATTTCCTTTCCTCTTCAGGGGAGGCACCTCCCTGATACTTCCTGATAACAATCTGGCAAGGTACTCCAGTGTAATTAAGTTGGCTGTTGAGCTCACAGGTTTGTCTTAATAACCATCTAGATTAGAGTGAGTAGTCATGCTGCTCATACTTCTTGTAGTAAAGTTAGCTGAACAGAGGCACAGTGGAGTGGGCAGTTACTTAAACTCGTGGAAAAGATAAAATGTGATCTGTCAAATATCTCTTTGGATGTGAAGATTAGAACCCAGTGTTCTTGGCCCTGTTCCAGTTTTTAAACCACTAAATATTGAGCATTAGATAAAAAACAACCTTAAAGGAATAATTTATTAAAAATTTTGAGTATCCTACAGTTTGGAAATTCTCCGATAAGGTCCCCAAACCACCAAAGTCTGTCTGTCTAAAAAAGAAGATGTTTTCTCCTGTGACTGGTCTTTGCTCATATACTTTCATTACTTAAAGTTTTTATTCCACTGTCATGTAAAAAGACTTTCAATGTATTTACTAATGAAAAAAATTCAACCAGTGCCCACATAGTAATCAGTGAAGTCTGGTTATTACATAGTACTTTTTCCTGATGGAATGTTGGTTGTGCGGCACAAAGCCACAAATAATAATTTTTTTATTTTTGCCTTTTTTTGTTTGTTTTCTTCTTGGTAATCTTTTTTTCTTTTTGTTCATCTTTTTGGTAATGTTTTTAAAGAAGGAAAAGAAAAACTGTTGATTCTTCTCCATACTCCACAGATATCTGGTGATTTCAGAAAAACTTGAGGAGATTAAGTCTTTCCGGGAGTTGACCTGCCTGGATCTTTCCTGTTGCAAGCTTGGAGATGAACATGAACTCCTAGAACATCTCACCAATGAGGCCCTATCTAGGTATTACCACCATTTGCAGATGAATTGTTTTATTATTTTTTAAAAAGGATCATCCAAGAGGATCATCTTCAAGAATACCGATTACCTCCCAAGTCTGTTTATTTGCTAAGTTTTTTCATAAACTTTTTCAATTTCCATTTACTTGATAGGAGTAATATAGATTAGATAAATCTTATGAAAGTAAGTCAGTTAAAAAAAAAAAAAAAAAAAGAATAAGTCAGTTATTTCATTTTTCTAAATAACCTTTACCATGTAGTACTTGAAGCTACCTGGGCTGAAAAATTATTTTTTTCCTTTATTTGTCTAGTCCTAGTTTAATCTAGCAAGAGATGAGAAATCATACAATTTTCCAAAGTCATCATTTTCTATTTTAACTACCAGTGAACTATAAATTATTTAAAAAGTCAACTATTAAAGACAGCCAAATACATCTTTTTCAAGAACCATAATTTAAAGAAATCACCCAGTTCATACCATTCACAAATAATTAGATTGATCTCAGTCTGACCGGCAGACAGGAGGCCAAATGGATTTCTTTGTGGTTTCATAAACACCCAGAGGGATAGCAGCGTTACAAACCTGGCTCTAACCCACTTGCTGGGGCCTTCCCAGGACAGACATCTACATACTGCTCTGTGCAAAGGTATTTTTGTGTGAGGTTAGTAGAAGTTCAGGTTTCCTGTTGTGCATGGACACTGAAGCACATTAATACACCAGTGTCAGTTTAGCTGGATAGACTGGGTTATAGGTATACCTTAAAAACTCAATCTGAAAATCTGCATTTATAAAGCTAGTTAAACTTAGAGGATTGTTTGTTTTGCCAAAAGAATTCTCAAAGGAGTTCTTTAGCAGACTTTCCTGACATTTAGAGTATTTTTGGTTCCCACAGCATTTGTCAGGAATGCAGCTTTTGTGTTTAATAAGTGTATATTTATCTCCCTAATGAAGTCCATTTATCTCATTCCACCATATACCTCTAGTGCCTTCTGCCATCTGAGATTAATACTACATGACACTTTGATCCCTAAGTTAACCCTCACTTAGTAACTGAAATAGCACCAAAAGATCTTTAGCTTCGTTGAATGCATTGAGTGTGAAATAGCAGGGGGTAGAGGATATTTAATATTTTTAAATGAACTTTTATGAAAGTGTGTTACATACCTAGACTTTCTCAAACTCTCTTAAATAATTTATTTATGGACTTTGTTTTCCTAGTGTAACTCAACTCCACTTGAAGGATAATTGTTTATCTGATGCCGGGGTACGGAAAATGACAGCACCAGTTCGAGTGATGAAAAGAGGCCTTGAAAATCTAACATTATTAGACTTATCTTGTAAGTTTTATTAGAAATTATAGATTATTAATGTTGAAAGATGGCCTTAGAAATCATCTAGTTCTTCCCTTCATTTTAGAAGTGATAAATTGAGGGGACTTTGCTAGGTGCCACAGCAAGTTAGTGATAGAGCAGGACTAAAGCCAGAGGCTCTTGACTTGTGGCTAAATACCTCTCCTGGCATGTTGGCACCTCTTTACAAGTAGGAAAAGCTCATATAGATTCATCCATGCCACTAACTGTGTACAGACAAAGCAGCCTTTCATCATATTCGTAGCATCTATTTGGTTTATCTTTACTTTCTTTGAGTTGCTGACTCATAATCTCTCATCTAGGTCCTTTTTTTTGTTGTTAATCCTCACCTGAGGATATTTTTTCCACTGGTTTTTAGAGTTAAAAGAAGGAAAGGAGGGAGGGAGGGAGGGAGGGAGGGAGGGAGGGAGGGAGGGAGGGAAAGAGAGAGAGAGAGAGAGAAACATTGACATGAGAGAGACACATCAATTGGTTGCCTCCCACATGTGCCCCTACCTGGGCTGGGGAGCTGCATTCAAGGTACGTGCCCTTGACCTTTCATTCTGCAGACTGATGCTCTAACTACTGAGAAAAACCAGCCAGGGTAAAGTTTTTTGTTGTTTTTTTTAAATCAGTATTTGCTTGATGAAAATCTGAATGAATCCACAATTGCAATAACTTACTCAGGGTTATCCAGATACTGACACCAGTGGTAGAAAGTTGATAGGGATCATTTACAATTTAACTGAGCATCCTTTGAATGTATGGCAGGATAGTATGATGTCAGAAAAATAGAAGGAGCAGGGTTTGAGGTCAGAGGACACTCCTTGCTCTGCTACTCTTATTAGCGGCTGTGTGCCCTTGGACAAGTTATTTAACCTCTCTGAGCCTTGGTTTTGACTTCTGTAACATGAAGATAATAATGAATGTCCTGCCTTCCTCCCACGAGTGTATTCATTCAACAAATATTTTTTGAGCATCTACAATGTGCCAGGAATTGTGCTTATGGCCTTAAGGGCTGAGTGCTAAATATAGGACTCTGATGTGAGAAAGTAATATGTAAGAAAGGCTTTGGGAAAAAAAGCAAATTAGTAAGAGTAATAATAATCTCTGTGTCAAAGTGCCTTTGAAAGTCTTCTTAAAACAAATCTTTTTACTTTGGAAGTGAAACAGCCATGAATAAAGTCTGACGAACTATTTTAATGCATGTTTATGTATGTTGTTTCCATATGGTTGTAAATTAAACCCTTTGGGATAATTACCTGGTTCATTTTTTTTTCTGCTAAACCCCCATCTCCTAAAAAGTTAGAGCTATAAAGGATCTTAAGGATCATCTGGTGTGTGACTCCTTCATATTACAGATAGAATAAAGATAAGATTCCTATATTTTATTTATTCTGAAAAGTTTGTTCACTCAATATGTTATCATTGTGTGGCCTTTTTTCTGACCTTACTGTTGGCATTTTGGCAGTAAACTGTAACTGAATACTACCTGTTTTTGACGTCTAGGTAACCCTGAGATCACAGATGCAGGAATTGGATACCTCTTTTCTTTTAGAAAACTAAACTGCTTAGATATCTCTGGGACAGGGCTCAAGGTAGGACTTTTACTCCCTTCTCTTATCTTTTCACACTCACAATTTGATATTTTGCTTCTGTTAATTGGAGTTTAGAAAAGGCTGGTATTTATGATGGTGCTTCTTTCCTACTGAAAACTAGTACTAATTGACCAGATGTGTGGGCTTCCTGTTCTGTCTTTCCCTACTAGGACATCAAAGCTGTCAAACACAAGCTCCAGACCCACATAGGCCTTGTCCACTCTAAAGTGCCTCTGAAGGAATTTGATCACAGTAACTGCAAGACCGAGGGCTGGGCCGACCAGGTACTGTATATCCCCCCCCCCCCCCCCCCGCCTTCCCCGCACACACAATTAATATGGCTTTTTATTTTAATTCTAAGTGTCTTATTCAACACTTTGAACAAACATTAATCCTTTGGTACTTCTTGGCTGAATTGTCATCTTTATGTCAAATCAGAGATACTGATGGCCTGTAACTGACCCAGCTACTTAAGGAAAGGTATTAGATGCTAGTCCTTAAATCTCATGCTCTAGTCACTAGATTGTGCCTTATCCTTATTGGACCTAGGAGAAAATGTCATCTTACAAACATTCCGAAAATAAGTGAATTCTGCCCTGCTAATGAAAAAAGCAGTATGACCCAGCTTCAGAAGGACAGATTCTCTTAGCAGTCTAGAAAGAGAATAAGTCACACTAAGAACGATTCAAACCTGACTCCTCCTCTTCGGGGCACCTTTCTTAAATCTCAGAGCCTTAGTGAGGAATGGTCTTTTTTGTCCTCCTCTCACTGACTGTTCCCATTTTTATCTTCTTGGTTGAACTTTACTTTGACTCAGTCTTGTCTTCTTGATGGTCTCCCTCAACTTGGTCAAGTACAGGCTTAAGTAGGAAGTCAGAGGTAACTAAGTATACAGCACCAGTAGATGCCTGCCTGCCTGTGGTTGGTGCCTTTCTCCTTCAAACACTTTAAGCCAATGTTACTTGGTGTGGAGGCCTAGGGGGCTCCCCAAACTGTTTTGTTCTAGATTCCTCCTTGGCTCAAACTATAACACATGATGGTGGACCTATCCCAACTGTCTGATTGTAGTATCACCTCCCTATAGGTCAGTGGTTCTCAACCTTCTGGCCCTTTAAATACAGTTCCTCATGTTGTGACCCAACCATAAAATTATTTCATTGCTACTTCATAACTGTAATGTTGCTACTGTTATGAATCGTAATGTAAATGAATCTGATATGCAGGATGGTCTTAGGCGACCCCTGTGAAAGGGTCGTTTGACCGCCAAAGGGGTCGCGACCCACAGGTTGAGAATCGCTGCTATAGGTCAACACGGAAGGGGATGCTGGTGAGTCTGTATTTCAGAAGCACTTTGAAGTTGGTCTAGAAAATGCATGCTGAAATAATTATCATAGTGCATTGCCAAACACAATTGTAGCACTGGATTAATCCTAGACTTGGCCAGTAGTGGACTTGGGGCAGGTAGGTGTGGGATGGTCATGTAAAGGCTTGAGATAGTTTGGTAGCAGGTTGTCATGGTGGAAAGAGCATAGGCTATGGAGTCAAAGATACCTGGATTTAGGGTCCTGGCTTGACAAGCCAGTAGCGATATGACAAGGCAACTTTGAGTCTCTGTTTCTTCATCGGTAAAATGCAGAAACCAGGACCTCTGTTGCAGAGCTTGGTAAGGGTGAAGTAAAATACCTAGCAGCCTGGCCTGGAAGTAAGCAAATTGGACTCTGCGGCTTCATGCCAGGCAACCTCAGCCTGGCCCCTGCGGCTTGGCTGCAGAGCTTTGTCTGTCTCTTGTTGATCCCTTACTAAAACTGTTTCAGGCTGACTCTGGGCTGCTTCTGCTTCATTCTCAGCAGGTGACACGGAAAAAATGAGGCTATCTGACAGGAGTCCCCTTCCTTCCCTATCTCTGTCTTAAATTTTCTCCATTTCTTCAACCATATTCTACTTTCCTCCTATCTAAGGGGAATAAGGATGCCACTTTTATTCCACTGATAAGCCTTTAGTTTTTCCTTTTTATCTTTCAGTTCCGTTCCTTACAATCACCAGCTTCCTCTGTGATATTTTACTAATAATTATTTCCCTCTACTGCCCCACCACTGCATCTTCAGTCTCAACCTGTGTTGGCTGTTTTCTTTCTGTGTATAAGCATACTTGAGCTACTCTTACTCTAATATGTTCCTCATTCCCCAGCAGAACTGTGGATTGTTTTCTGTTATCTCTCCCACCTCCTTTCTGTCTCCTCAGTTCTTAATCCTTTGTGATCTAAGTCTGGCCTCCATCCTCTACTGTTCTCTTAAAGGTAGCATGTGAGCTCATTTTCACCTGCCTTAGCTTTTCTGCTTAGCTTTTTCTCTCATGACCTTTCTCCTAGCTCTCCCCTAACTTTTTCATTTCTGCCTCTAGCTCTTGCTGATACCTCTTCTCTTCTCGGATACCTCCACTCACTCTCCTGGTGATCATAACTGTCCCGTGGGGATGATTCCACCTTCTCTCACACACTTGACCCATTCCTACATTTCATCCATAAATCCCTACCTGGCACCTCAAATCCAGCTTGTCCAGAACCTGACTCATTTTCTTCTTCCCTGTCCCCAAACTCTTCTTATTGACATGCTTATTTCTTAGTGAAAGGGCTGTTTTCCCAGTTGCCCACTGAGTCACCAGATTCAGCCCATCCATCTTGGCATTCTCTTAGATCTGTCCACATTTCCCATAATCAGGAAAATATCATAGAAGGGTTGACAACTGATATTTATTGAGTGCTTTTTGTGTGCCAGACCCTTCATGTACGTTATCTCATTTAACAGATGAAGAAATTGAGATCAGAAATTAAATCACTTGCCAAGGGCCCCTTGGCTAGTAAGTAGTAGTGCTAACTCTGGAATTGTATTCTTAAACTGTGTCATACTGCCTCTGTGTCCTGAAAATGTTTTTCTTTATGATCATTTCATTGCATACCAAGAAAAGTATTAAATTTAGTTCTTGTTATTCATGGTATAGGTGAAATAATCATTTATTTATATAAAGTTTATACCTGGCCAGATTTCCAAAAGAATTTGTAGTAGCTTATAATAAAAATACATTTGTAATGGTTTTAAAAATGGCAGCTGATCATGAGGTGTCTTGAGAATATGGAAATGTGGGCATTTTACACACAAGAGTTTTGAGTTATACTGATGTATTTTAAGGCATGAGGGTGAGACTAGAAATGTGTGAATAGTAATGACTAAGGTTTCAAATTTTAGTATTTAGTTTAAGGATATGCAGTTTATTTCTAGCTTGGAATAGAGATGAAAAGAGGGAGTGAGCATTGTGGATTTTTCCTGAGTCATGAAAATACACATATCTAACAGGTTTGTATTCTGACTGGCTCTTGCATTAAAACAGAAAATCCAGGCTTGACTTGATTCTTATTCTTATCACCAATCATCTGAAGTAAGATTACCGCAGGAGTTTGTGTTTATGGAAAGGGAACAAAGGGAAACAAGGAAGGTTTGAGATTAAAAGCTTGAGATTTTGTTCAGATTCAAATCTTTCCAAATGCATTTTAGATTGTTCTGCAGTGGGAGCGTGTGACTTCGGAAGCCGTGAAGCCACGAGATGCCTTGGAACCTCGAAAGGCAGCTCAGCACTTCTGTGAGAGATTCCCTTTTCTTTGGAATTCCCTTTTCGCCCTTAGGTTTTTTGCACCCTTAAAGCAGTTAACTTGTTTTCACACAATGGGAAAATTAATTGTGATAGTGCCAACTTAATTAGATCACCAAGACTTGTGTTCTCAAATAGTTTAGAGCAGCAGTCGCCAACGGTGGTCCGCGGACCACTGGTGGTCTGTGAGGTCCAAAAGGTTGGCAACCGCTGGTTTAGAGTACACTTTGAACACCAGTACAAGGAAAATAGCTTATTAAATGTATGTATTTATATCCCATCTTGTTCCAAAAATGATTTGCATAGAGAGATTACAGAGATTCAAAAGGAATTAAATGTAGCCAAAAGGTAGAAGCAACTCAAGTGTTCATCAATAGATTAATGGATAAACGAAATGTATTATTTACGTACAGTGGAATATTATAATAAGCCTTAAAAGAGAAGGAAATTTTAACACATGCTATAACATGAAGACATTATGGTAAGTGAAATAAGCTAATCAGAAAAAGACAAATACTGTGTGATTCTTTCTATATGAGGCTTTTAAAATAGTCAAGTTCATAGAGACAGTGGAAGAGTGGTTGTCAGGGACTGGAGATGGGTATTAGGGAGTTACTGTTTAAATAGGTATGGAGTTTCAGTTTTGCAAAATGAAACAGTTTAGTGTTAGATGGTGGTCGTGGTAGCTCAGCAATGTGAATGCACTTAATGCCACACACTGTAAACCTAAAAATGGTTAAAATGGTGAATTTATTTATGTATATTTCAACATAACTTTTAAAAATGAGGCTAAGTGATAATATCGAAGTGAAGGGAAAATAAAGGTAACAAAACAAGAAGCTAGGATATGCCAAAAAGAAATACATAATGTCATATCGTTTGCTAGAGTTGTGCCATAAATTTGGCTCTTGGAAGACAGTCAAGTCCTGATTTTTAATAATAATAGCTAATATTTTTTAGCTTTTACTCTGTGCCAAGCCTTGTGCTAAGCACTCTATGTACATTATTTCATTTATCTTTATATCACCCTTATGAAATAGGTTTTATATCCCTACAAAGATGAGAAAACTGATCCTCAAGTCACTTGCCCAAGGTCTCTTATCCAGGAAGTGGCAGTGTACACGCCTTCAACCTGTGCTAGTGCATATACCACTGTTACTTTATAGGGCACTCAAAAGGGAATAAAATTAATGCAAACATCTCCTTGTTTGGACCTATGTTGTTTTCTTTGGATGATCTTTCTAGACCTAGGCAGGCATTAGCATGCCAGCGTAGTAAACTCATCACCCTTCCTTTTGTCACTCTTACAGATGGGAAGCGGGCTCAAACAGAAACCCCAGGGAAGTGTCCCCTAGCAGACACGCACATGAACTCTTCTGAGAAACTCCAGTTCTATAGAGAGAAAGCCCCAGACTGCCATGGGACATTATTGAAACTCGAAGCTGTCTCAAGCCAGGAGTCAAAGAAGAGCAAGAAGAGAGGTTTTGAGGAGCCAGAAAAGGAACAGAGTAACTCTTCACAGTCTTCAAAGCAGAAATATGTGTGTCTTGCTGTGGAAGACTGGGACTTGTTAAACTCCTATTGATTGGCAGATAAAAGTTGACCTCCCCACCCCGCCCCATCTCTAATGTATGAGGAAAGGGGCTGATGTTTTCCTCTTTGTTTGAATTTACCTATGACATTAGCATAGCAAGCAGATATTTCTACTTTTGTGGTGGGGGAGGGGAATGCTATGGAAGTATGTAATAATTTCTAATGTATATTTTCAATACATAGTAATTTTTTCAAATAAACGTTTTTGCTCTCCTTAAGTTCTGCTTATGAAATATGGACTGGAGCCACAGGAAATAATACTGGTTTGGGATGAAAAGCCATCTAAAATAACAAGGCAGCTTAGCTTGATTTGTTGCCACCCCAATGTGGCCCAGCCAATGATATATATATATATATATAGCCACCAAATTGAATGCCCCATGGAAGAAAAGTATTAGCTCCAATTCAGAGTTAAGAAAACTCAGCCTCAAGTTAAGCTAGTTGTTCAAGGTCACAGAGCTTATAAGTGACAGAACCAGAATCTATACTCCTTTCTGTCCAACTCTAAAGCCCACTCTGTGACAGTGCCTCTTAAATAATAGTTACCATTTATTAAAATCCCAGCCATTATGTCTGTGAAGTAAAGCACCAGAAATCTTCACAGCAGTTCTCCAAAGTATTATCACCTCTGTGTGACAGATGAGGAACCTGAGACCAATGACCTGCCTTGGACCAGTGCTTCTCAAGCTTTATTGCGCATGCAGTCACCTAGGGGTCTTGTTAGAATGCAAATTCTGATTCAGTAGGTCCAGAGTGGGACGTGAGGTTCAGCATTTGGAAAAAGTTTCCGGATGATGCCACTGCTTCTAATTTGTGGACTGCACTTTGAGTAGCAAGTCTCTAGACCTTCTCTGTCTATACGGTAGCCCCTAGTCACATGGCCATTGAACACTTGAAATGTGGCTAGACCAAATTGAGATGTGCAGTAAAATACACACCGGATATCAGGCATTGAAGTACAAAAGAATGAATGAAAGATATCTGCATGTTTAAGTATTGATTCCATGTTAAAATGGTAATTTGGGGATTAAAAATGTTCACCTGGTTTTCTAATGTGGCTACTACAAAACGTAACATGGCTTGCATTCGTGATTTGCATTATATTTCCACTGGACAGTGCTGCTGTAGATCGTATTCCATTCCTAAAAGCTAGCTTAGAGTAAGGCCTGGCAAGTAAAAGGAAGGGAATGAGAATACCTTAAAGGAATTAAGAAAATTGGCCCAGCCAATTTTGTGACAGGTTTGACATTTGGAAATGCTCTAGAGTTTAACAGGGATTTTAATAAAGGTAGATCTTGGACCTGGTATGTATTTTCTATTCAGAGTTAGGCAGGGTGCTAGCCTGTTGCCCAGGATCATATCAAAAGCTCTGATTTGTGAAAGTTATAAAATGAAAAGCAGTGTAGATTGTTTTCTTTACAGAAGTAAAGTTGGGTTTTAAAGTGTCATTTGGTGGACAGCAGCACACCTTGCCAACTTCCTAGTGCAAATAAACAGCCTTGCCAAACTTAGCATAAGTTGTTATGCAAACTTGAGTCTAATTTGACCACGTCCCACTCCCACCACCCACACTGTGGTGTTGCAGTGCTATACCAGCAAGTGGCATCTGGAATTACTTCTCAAACATTCCACCTGTTCAGATCATTTTGGAAGGCAAATCTTCCTTCAAAGCAATTTCTGATTACTTCTTTTATAAACACAGTTTACTTTTAGAGCTAAGGTTTCATTTTCTTTAATCCTTCTTTTCTTTCAAGGATCTCATTTTTTCTGCTGGTGATTCCTTGAAATATTTCTTGTTTGATCTGAACAATTTATTGTAGTCATTCAGATGGAGTTATAAAAGTCTAGGCTTTGTTTTAATGAATGAGATGAAGGTCAAGAATTTATGACTGGCATAAAATAGATGGAAAAGTGTGTGTGTGTGTGTGTGTGTGTGTGTGTGTAACTTACATGTGAGGATTAAGCTATTTCTAAATTATAATTTCTTATTAGAATTCACTTGCTGATTTATGGACTTTGGGCAAGTGACTCAATTCTCTTAATCCTCAATTTACCTCTTTGAAACTCTGCCACCTACCTGCATAATGCTTGTAAGAATGAATAAATCAGTGTTTCTCAAAAGTGTGGTCTATGGACCTCTGCCCAGTCTCCTGGGTATTTGTTAAAATGAAAATTCCTGGACCCCCACCTATATTCAGAATCTTTTAGTTTGTTAGAATTACAGAAGATTCTGACACTGGGCCAAGTTTTCTCATACATTTATTAAAAAAAATACTGAGCTATTAATTTGAGAAAGTGTCCATTGAAAAAGTATTGAACATTTAACATATGCCAGGTGCTAGGGATTCAGCAGTAAAAAGATGGTCTTTGCCTTCAAAGAGCTTATATTGGGAGGTGGGGGATGAGTTAGACAAGAAGTAAATAGGGCAGTAAATCAGCAAGCTAAGTTCACATAGTGAGAAGTACTTTTAAAAAGGTAGAATGGGATATTGGTGGATGGGATAATTACTTTAGATTTTTAAATTAGAGGGTTATAGAAGGCATCTCTGAGGAAATGATGTTTGAGTTGAGTATGGTAATAAGGAGCTGATCATACAAACATTGGGGTGAAGAGTGTCTTGGGGAAGGAAAACAACCAGAGATGGCAAACCGTGGGAACATTCTAGGGACAGAAAAAAAAAAAAAAAGGACTGAAGGTCAGGTGGCTGGTACAGACTGAATAAGTGGCAAAAGATGCGTTTAGGAGACAAGTGGCAGATCCAGACCTTCTGAGTCATGGAATTTGCATTTTACTTCGATGGGTTGGAAGGCCACTGATTATGCATAAATCACATGTGATCTGATTTATACTTTGAAGAGCGAACTCTTGCTGCTTTGCTGGGTCCAATGTATGGAACATGGATCATAGTGGGGGCCAGAGGGGAGCAGGGAGACCAATCAGGACCACTAAAGTGCAGGTGAGAGATGATGGCAGTAGGACTGAAGTGATGGTAGTGACAATGAGAAGAGGTTGGATTAGGGACTGTTTTGGAGGTTGAACTGAAAGGTCATGTTGATACATTTGGTGCCAGGGTGTTGAGGAACAGAAGGAGTCAAATCAAAGACAACTGCTTCCTAGGGTTTTGCCTGAGCAACTGAGTGGATAATGATGTCATTTACTAAGATGGGAAAATACAGGTAAAGAACAGAGGTGTGTGGGGAAATCAAAGGTTCTGTTTTAGACAAGTTTGAGATGCTGATAGTCTGGAGCTCAGGAGAGTGGTCAGGAGTGAAGATATAAATGAAGTTGGGGTTCAAGATATTTCGTGCCCATGACTGCGTGAAATCACCTAGGGAGAGTGTAGATAGACAAGAGAAGAAGGCCTGAGACTGGGCTTGGAGCCTTCCCACAGTTAAGATAAAACAAAAGAGGAGTGGATGTGGAAGTCGAAGATAAAACCAGGAGAGTGTATAATATAACCGAGAAGTGAAAATGTTTTGACAGGAAGGGAGCAGTGTTAATGTTTCTGAGAGGTTCAAGTTCTTTATAGAATCCTAGGACAGTATCACAGCCCTTTGTTTTACAGATGAGGAAGCTGAAGCTCACAGGGAGGAAGTTATTCATTGTGATGGTTAATTTTATGTGTCCAGTTGGCTAGGTCATGGTGCCCAGTTATTTGTTCTAACACCAGCCTAGGTGTTGCTGTGAAAGTATTTTATAGATGTGATTAACATTTAAACCAGTAGGTTTTGAGTAAAACAGGTTGCTCTCCATTATGTGGATGAGCCTCATCCAATCAGTTGGACAAAGGCGGAAGAGAAAAGACTGAGTTAAAAAAAAAATTTTTTGAGTTGAAAAGATAGCCAGAGGAGAATCTGATATAGAAGAAGTCTGTTTTTGTTTGTTTGTTTGTTTGGTTTTTTTAATTTTATTGATTTTTTACAGAGAGGAAGGGAGAGAGAGAGTCAAAAACATCGATGGGAGAGAAACATCGACCAGCCGCCTCCTGCACATTCCCCACCGGGGATGTGCCCGCAACCCAGGCACATGCCCCTGACCGGAATCGAACCTGGGACCTTTCAGTCCGCAGGCCAACGCTCCATCCACTGAGCCAAACCGGTTTCGGCAAGAAGTCTGTTTTAACATCAGAAAGTTGGTGACGTGACACACGTTTATATGCTACAAGGAACAAACGTGTAGAGAAGGGAGTAGTTTGGCCACCAGGTCTCCAGGCTGCATCAGTCCTTACCCTTGAGGAAAGCAGTGGCTGTGCCAGGCAACAGTGGCTCACAAGGAGCAAGAGGAAGCCTAGGTACAGGGGAGCAAAGGCAGCTCTGGGCAGCTCTGCAGGTGCGCTGGTTCAGGAGGCTGAACAACTTGATCCCAGGAGGAACAGTCAGTGACCTGGGGTTTGTGCAGCTTCAGAGGCCTCAGGGGGAGACAGTTAACTGTTTTCAGAGGAAGGGCTTTCCTGGGGAGAGGGAACAGATGTGTTTTTCTGGATTCAGAACTAATTAAAGACAGTTTTGGTTCAGGAGCAGAAGGAAATTTCTAAACTCACAGCTGCTAGGAGAGGTAGTAAGTTCCTGTTCTTCAGAAGTGTGCATACAAAAGCTGGGTGATTGATGAGGTTGCTATATAGGCAATCCAAACATCAGGTGGGGGATTAGATGTCCTTTATAAATCCTTTCAGACTTGGGAATCTCTAACATATCAGGCTTCCCTGGTAATCTCAAAGTGTTTTGTGAAATGGCCAAAAAGACTGTTTTAATGCATTTTATTAAAAACTACAGGCCCGGTGCACAAAAATTTGTGCACTGGGGTGGGGGGTGTCTCTCAGCCCGGCCTGCACCTTCTTGCAGTCTGGGACCCCTCAGGGGATGTTCACCTGCCGCTTAGAGACAGGTGGCCAAACTTTTGGCCACCAAGGGATCAGGCCTAAGCTGGCAGTTAGACATCCCAATGGCAGCCCAGGAGCCCTCAGGGGATGTCCAACTAATGGCTTAGGCCCATTAGTCAGACATCCTTAGCGCTGCCGTGGAGGCGGGAGAGGCTCCTGCCACTGCCACTGCGCTGGCCAGCCATGAGCTGGCTTCTGCTCGAGTGGCACTCCCCCTGTGGAAGTGCACTGACCACCAGGGGCAGCTCCTGCGTTGAGCGTCTGCCCCCTAGTGGTCAGTGCATATCACAGTTCTCGGTCATTCTGCTGTTAGGGTCAATTTGCATATTGCCCTTTCATTATCTACACTAATAAAAAAGAAACATGCAAATTGACCATCCCTCCTCTATGACCACCAGCCAATCAGAGCGATATGCAAATTAACCCAACAAAGATGGCGGTTAATTTGCATACACAGGCGCAGAGTGAAGACTGAAGACTGCATAGAAGGAAGCCAAGTGCTGCAGAAGGGAGCGAAGCAGCGGAGAAGGGAAAGGAGCTGAGGCAGTGGACACAGGCGGGAGCGAGGCAGCAGAGATGGGAGGGAGCGAAGTGGCGGAGAAGGGAGGGAGCGAGGCAGCGGAGAAGGGAGCGAAGCTCACGTCGGCGGGCTTTGCTCCGGTCTCAGGAAGCCCTATTGCAGGAATCTTCCTGCAGCGGGCCTCTAGTATAGGATAATTATGCCAGCCCAGCCACAGTGGCTCAGTGGTTGAGTGTTGACCTATGAACCAGAAGTTCACGGTTTGATTCTTGGTCAGGGCACATGCCCAGGTTGTGGGCTTGATCCCCAGTGGGGGCATGCAGGAAGCAGCCAGTTGATTATTCTCTCTCATCATTGATGTTTCTATCTCTCTCTCCCTCCCTCTCCCTTCCTCTTTGAAATCAATAAAGATATATTTTAAAAATAAATAAATAAAATAATTATGCCACATGCCTGGCTGCAGTGGCTCAGTGGGTGAGTGTTGACCTATGAACCAAGAGTCACGCTGGGATTCCCGGTCAGGGCACATGCCTGGGTTGCCTGGAGCTCGATCCCCATTGTGAGGTGTGCAGGAGGCAGTGATCCATAATGCTCTGTCATTATTAATGTTTCTATCTCTCTCTCCCTTTTCCTTCTCTGAAATCAATAAAAATATTTAAAAAATAATAATTATGCCACATAATGGTCATGAGGTTTGGAAAGAAAATGATAGTATAGCTTGACAAGATAGCACATCTAGCAAGTGTTATAGCTCTTGGAGGGAAATCACTGGCTTAGGATTTGGATCAACGATTCCCAGATGTTCCCAAGGGTCTCTTGAGGAGCCTGTAATAAAGTGCAGATAACCCTCATCCCTCCATTCTGATTCTGGAGAGTTGGTTGGCCCCAGGAACCTGCATTTTCATCAAGCAACACCCCTGCATGACATCCCAACCCCACCCCCAGGAATCTGATGTGGCAAATCCTAGGACTCCTCTTTGGGAAACTGGATGAAGATGATGGAGGGAGGATGACAAGGATTTTCCAAGGGAAGTAATCTGGAAACCCTGTGCTTTGCAGAGAAACCATGCGTGGCTGTATGGGGGACTTGCTGGGAAAGTCAGGGTGTAAA